AACTGAACAATGGTTTGGGTTACGCCTTTTAATTTTTGTAACGTCATCTTGGTTTTTTATGACAACACCACTACCAGTGTTGCCATTATCAAATTTACTTCCATCCGTGAAAATATGTACTGCTTCATTTGGGGTGTTGTGGATTGTCTCCAGTGCCAACTGTCTAAGAAGTGCTGGATGCTGATTTTTCTTACTACTGGAGGCCAAAAGTTCCTCGTGAAAGAAAACCCTCGGAAGGTCTTTCATTGGGTCTATATTTGGTTCTATCGAGCAGTGTTCTATGTCAGGGAACAGCAGATTCAATTTACCTGCCCTGCAAAAGGGACTGTCTCTTTTTAATCTCTGGACATCTGTCCAATTCATCAAGTAGGTAGAAGTACGATGTTGGTCTCCATAGCTGTATAGCTTGCTGTAATATTTTGCGGTGCTAGAAGTCCATCTCATAAACAATGGTTGGAGATTAGCCTCGTATAGGACAATCTCATTAGGACAGCTATTACGTAAGCCTGTAATGATCCGTGCAGCACTCAGCTGTATCCTTTCAAGCATTTTTAAATTACCAGCAGAAGCTGCCAGTAAAATCTGGAATCCATATTCCAGCATTGGTCTGATAAATGAAGTGTAAGTTGTCCTTAAGGTATTGGCATCTGCTCCCCAGTCGCGTCCAGAAATATATTTCAAGATGTTAAGTCTCTTTCTTGCCCTCTCCACCTGATTGGCGATATGTCTGTTGCAGGTAATCTCGGGGTCAAGTGTAAAACCCAAGTATTTTGGATATTTTTCATACTTAAGAACATGACCATCTAGAACAATCTTAGGTTGGTAATTATAGAGACGTTTGTTTGTGGTAAAGAAACTCACTACCGATTTCTCTGGATTAAAGTTGAGTTTATGAAGACCAGCAAAACGCTGTATTCCCTTTAATGAGTTATTTAGTTCAGATTCAACTGCATCTATGTTCCTGCCAGAACTCCAAATAATAATATCATCTGCAAATATACCAATTTCACAACCCTGCGAAATTTCCTTTTCAATACCGGCAATGAAGAGCGCAAAGAGAATCGGGTTCATCACAGAGCCCTGAGGGACGCCTTGACTGTATCGAAAACCTCTAGAGAGAGCATTCTTGTATTTGACTTTGAATTGTCTTCTTTTAAGAAAATCTGATATCCATGACAGGGCGCGCCCCATAACACCAAACTTATCATAGTCAATTCACTTACTTTCTGTATGTGTGTACCAATTAAGTTGGCCACTATTCCGTCCTCTAAAGGCGTCTTATTGACTGTGTCCACAATAGTATTTGAAGCCTTCGACTGGAGTCTCTGTTGACAGAGGCTTCTTACAGGTTTCCATAACTTGGTATCTGAAGATCTAGCATCTAACTTAGAACAAAGTTCATGACATCTGTCTTTTTTGATATTAGCGTATGTTCTTTTGATTTCAGCATTTACCCTATTCAACTCTGGTCTAACTGAAGAGTTGCCATTTTTTAAAAGCTCAGTCAATGACAATTAATGAGGACCTCTGTAAAGAATTTAGTTTATCATTGATTTTAATGGTATTCCGATACTAGACACTGGCGGCGTATAAAATAATGGCTCAAGGGATAAAACGTTCGCCTCCCAATGAATGTGGTGAACCGGGTGAGATTCTCTGCAATGGCTGCTTAGTTCCCACACCCGACTTGCACCGACGGCAATTCTGACATAAAATATCTTCTGTAGTAGACGGATCATGGGTTAGAGTCCCCTTGCCATCAGGCTAATCGTAGGAGGTTTTCATCTCCATTTTACGCAAATGCGGGTATGCTCCATCAAAAAGTCCACCACAAAGGCAAATTTCTCCTAATACATGATACAAGAGTTCCTTTGTCTTCTGTATTGGGTTCAAAATTACGAGGATACGGAGTTGAACATTGGTAGTCGTAAACTTAAAATTCGGCTGGCTGTTATGAAATAAATAAAAAAAAATATTAGCATGTTTAAGGTTACCCTCTCGAACCATAAAGAGTTAGACCTTAAACTTATAAATCCGATCATTAGATCAGAATTTAATCAGGGTGATCAGCATTAAATTTTGCGCACTGTGCGATTTAAGATGTACTATGAAGGAATACTTAACACCGAATTATATTTCTTAAAATACTGAACGATATTATTGAATAATAAAATTTCAAACAGTGTATCAATGCAATAATTGGCAAAGTATTTTTCAGACATAAATTGTGTAGAGAAATAGTAGCATATTTGTCATTAAATTACACGATGTTCAAATATTCGACCTATGCATTCAGAAGGGTGATAAAATTATTCATACGAAATCACTCGAAGATACGAAATCTCAAGCCCCATTAGGAGGTTGAAAATTGCAAATATAAACGCATAGGTTTTTAATCTCGACGGAACGAAAGGTGGAGCCACGCTCAAGGATGGTTTTTATGGATGGTTAAGAATGGTTAAATTCACTTTTATAATAATTAATCATTTTGTAGTTAGCAGATTTGCGGTATCTTTTTTAGTTGCCTCCTGTGAGTCGAATTAACCTATTGACTGAGGAATTAAGTATAACGCGTTTCTCTCTCTCTTTTTTTTCGCGTTCTCTCCTTTCTTTCGCATTTTTCTCTCCTTGATGCTTTTTATCAACCATCTAATATTGTCGATTGAAATTTGGAATACTCTACTTATTTTTTGCGTTCAATAAATATGTGCATTCCTTTTATAAAATTAAACAAAATTTTGTAACGATCATATAATACGTCCTACTTCTGCGAAAAACATATGTAGTTGTCACATTTTTTTGGTAGAGTTGTAACATTTCTTCATTGTTGACAGTTGGAGTTCAATGCGATCTCTTAATTGAAAAAGAAGTATCATGCGAAACTGGTAAAAAATTTGCAAGAAGTCAAAATCTGGAGTTTTTCGAATGCAACATCAGGACTGGTGAAAATGTAAACGAAGTAAGATGGTCTTACATATTTGATCTTTGCCTTATGACTACGATCCTTTTTATCAATGGAAAATTTCACTAGATTAATTATCACCTCACATGGTCATATGATAGTAGGATATGTAATGTTACACCACTATAAAGTAATTCATATTAGTTTATCGTTTAAAATGTTTCTAAAAGAGTAGGCAACAAAAAATAGAAGGAAATAATTTTAAAATACTTCAAATTTTTTTATGTAAACACTTTTAAAAACGTGCATTGGGGGAAAACATTTCCATATGATCTTATACAAATGTTTTTTATTTTTATTTTGTAACCATCTTTCAAGATTAGGTTATGTTCGATACTTTGTTTTCTTACCTAATATTTCCAAAATTCTCATTTGATTCAATATGTTGTGCAGTTTATATGCTGTATGGTTATTTGATTATAATTAATGTTAAAATTGTTTCTTAAAAACGCACCCTAATTGAAAATCTAATGCATTAATTGTAATTATTGTTAAATATTTAACTGTAAAGGGAACTAAGCGTCAAACAATTTAAAAACTTTTGTTTAAAATAGCTTTTTTAACAATTTTAATTTCATATATATTAGTTTATTTTAGGTTTTTGAACACATGGCTTTGAGAATACTTCAAAAAGAAGGATTAATACCACCTGATAAAATTGAAATCGAAGGAAAGTCTCTCGAATGGAAAGGAACCAATGAGGTGCCTGTCACTTCTGTTACTGAAAAAGAATTACTAAATGGCTGTTTTACTGAAACAGAAATTATTAATTATAAGCCAAAAGATATCAGTTATCTAGAAGATAGCAATTTACAAAATGGATCTAAAGGTGAAAGCGTTTTAATGAAAAAAGACAGTACTCAATCTTGTCCATCAACCAGTAAAATAAAAACTTCAGAGTTTAATGAAAATTGCGATCCTCCTGATAATAAAAATGGTGTTGTACAACCAAAAGCAGTGAAGTCAGTGATTTCAGAAGAAGAGATGCAACAAGAAGGAAAGTGTCTAGAAATGATTAATTATAAGCCAAAAGATACAAGTTATCTAGAAGATAGCAATTTACAAAATGGATCGAAAGGTGAAAGCGTTTTAATGAAAAAAGACAGTACTCAATCTTGTCCATCAACCAGTGAAATAAAAACTTCAGAGTTAAATGAAAATTGCGATCCTCCTGATAATAAAAATTCAGTTGTACTACCAAAAGCAGAGAAGTCAGTGATTTCAGAAGAAGAGATGCAACAAGTAGGAAAGTGTCTAGAAATGATTAATTATAGGCCAAAAGATACAAGTTATCTAGAAGATAGCAATTTACAAAATGGGTCGAAAGGCGAAAGCGTTTTAATGAAAAAAGACAGTACTCAATCTTGTCCATCAACCAGTGAAATAAAAACTTCAGAGTTTAATGAAAATTGCGATCCTCCTGATAATAAAAATGGTGTTGTACAACCAAAAGCAGTGAAGTCAGTGATTTCAGAAGAAGAGATGCAACAAGAAGGAAAGTGTCCAGCGTGGTTTGCTTGAACAGTAACTGTTTAATATTTCAGCTTCTTCGACTTTATGAAGTTTTTTATTATTCTGGCTCAGTAGGATCTCGATAATATGTCTTCCTATCAAGCAGCAAAATGAACATTTCAAAGCTAACCATAAGTTGAAATGCTTTGAATGATAAAAATGACGTAGTACTACCGAATTCAAAATAATCAAAGCTTTTCTAAGAGAAAAAAATATTAAGCTTAATTTACTTGAATAAAAAAAATTTCAATATTGCAATTTTGTTTTTTTAAGGCAGTTCTATTGTTCCTTCAGCGTTTTTTATTTAACAGTAAAGGTCTTCTTTCACTTTTCTGAACCCTATTTAATCATATTACTCCATTCAATTTTCTTATTTGTAGTGATCACACTTTCTTCCGTAAACCAATTTACTGATCGAAAATACTTTTTCTGCTCGACTAATGAATAATATCTCAAATCAAAGTCCATATTTATTTACAGAGTAAAATTATATTATTATAAATTAATATAACAAAAAAAACCTGAATTTTTTTCTACTAAAATTCAATTTTGGTTTGAAAAATCGAATTCAGAGTTATGTCCAAATGACAAATTAGAACCATCAACAACAATTTTTGATGTCGGAAAGAGTCTAAAAATAATTTCTAAATTTAAGCAAAATCTTCACTGAAAGTACATTCGATATGGAATGATAGTTTTTACTGTATAATTTACAAAAACGCAAAAACAGATCTTAAATCTGAGCTTAATTCGAGCTTAAATCGGAGTTAAATTTATGTAACTTAAATCCAAATTTAGATGAACTGAAACAATTAGTTCTTGAACTGTTTTACAGAAAGCACGTACAGTAAACAGTGGAAAGTTATCAATCCAATAGTGAATAAATATAGCATAAAAATAGTATCTATGTTCTACCGAGAATCAATAAGTACTTCCGAATAGGTTTAACAGCATTTCAACTGCCCAATCTTTACAACTTCTTAGACTAAAATGAAATACATGAAATAATAAAGGTCAAAAACTAAAAAAAATCTCAAAATTTAACAAATAGTTACGCTAAAATTATTTAAAAAAATATTCGTCGATAAATGGCTCTGCTAAATTAGAAAAAAAAATTTGTCACAATAACAACCATTTACAAAACAACGCAAAAAATTTAAGAGCCTGATGTTTTAATTGAAATGGCCTGACACAATTTAATTTTCCGTTCAGCTGTGCCTACATTCGAAGAACTTCATTTTTAATTTTTAAATTTGCCAAGAATGAATATTCTAGTGTCTGGAGCACAGAGCAGCAAACAGTGCATTTCTAGCTCCTCCCTCCTTTTTTTTAAAATTAATTTTTCATGTCCATATTCATTTTGAGACGCTAAGTACATTACCTTTAGATAGAACTTGTTTTTAATAACAATCATATTTCACAATTCCCTAGGTATTATGTTCCCTTATTGTCTATGCGCATGACGCTCAATTTATAAATTTTTTTGGGGCACCAATAGATTCATGTAAAATTCCACAACTAAATATGGTTTTTAAACAAACAATATACAGCCCTAATATTTAATGTTTTGTCTTGCATTTATTTGACTATGAATACGATGAGATAATCTTTCTATCCAGAAATTTTACTTTATCTTTCAACGTCAGAGATCAAATATCAGATCGAAGCGCTGTCTGCGGTTGCTTTGAAAATGCATTTGAAATGCATGGCTTAAAAACGTCAATATAGAAAAAAGCCTCAGTTTTTTAAAAATGAAAAGTGTTTGTGGTCTAATTTTTTAATATTTAAAAACTGGCATGAATGCTGCATAACCAAAGCCCATAAAAATTTGCAAAAACTGAGAATAAGGCATTAATTTTCATCGAGGTGGGAAAATGTCGCCAAATTGGCGATTTTTTAAGAAGATTTAAAAACGTTTTAGTGAAAGTAAACAAATCGGCGTGCTTTTTGGCGCAATACCGTTGTTTGCTTGGAGCCGGAATATAACACATATAGCGCCTATTAGTCAAGCAAAAACTCTTATTAAATATTTCTTTTCAAATTCAATTTTGTAAACTCTTTTGATATAAATTTGTTTAAAATCCAAACTAAATATTTGTTTTGATTAGAAAAAATAAGTATAATTTTTGTTCTGCAATAATCCTAGCTTAGTATGAATTCGAATAAAAAATTTAACTAATTAACATTAACTACTTGCCTTTACTTAAATAATATTCTTACCATAAACTTTGCGCAAGCACAGCTTTCTTAAGCCAAAAGATATTACTAATTTTATTTTTATTAATTTTTGTTATTTATAAGTTTACTAAAATACATAAATATTTAAATACCTATTTATTAAATTTTATGTATATTTTAAACCAATTAAATTGTTTCAAAATCTTACTTAAATGTTTTTGGTGCTTCTGAATTATAAAAAATTACAACTAAATCAAGTATGTATTTTATGGATTTTAACTTTTAAGAACTGTTAGTCTAGTGTACGTTATTTCCATTATCAATATATATGTTTAGAATTTTTACCTAATTATAAGAAATAATATATAATTAAAAAAAGAAAATAAAAAAAGACATAAAAATTATAAATAATTGATATCCCAACCAGGAAAACAAGACTGAATACATCAAACTCTTTCAATTTTACAACAATGCAAAGTAACTGCAGTTTTTCTGCAGATTCATCAAAAAGTATACCTCTGAAACAATGACTGCATAATTACTTTAAATTTAGTGCAGAATAAACGCGGATTTAAAGTTTCAGTTTTTTCTAAATTTATGATTTTAAAGTGACCTTACTTAAACTGCAGTAATTTTGTAGAAAATAGCTAAAACTTTTTTTGAAATAAATTACTGAGAAATTACTGCAAAATAACTGCAGTGTTTTTATAGTTAAGATTGTACTACGAAAAATCTGCAGTTAACTCTAGAAAAACTGCAAAATTACTTCAGTTCTGTAGAAAAACTGCAGTTTATTTTTTGCTGGGAAGAAAACAAAACTTCCATGTTATCGGAAGTAGAAGGATGGTGCATAAGAAGTTTAAATGAAATTGAAAAGTGGAAAAATTGCATTGAGTATACTCAGAAAATCGAAAAAGAGATGTGGGATTTGGACGAAGTCATCGAAAACACTGTTAATTCTCTAGTAATAAATATCAATTCCAACGACGACGATTCTACAAGTTCTGAGAGTGAATCCTGAGATTAGTTTCATTTCTACTTTTTAATGATATAATTATTCGTTATTATCCATCGTTAATACAGGAATTCTTAAAATTTTATTCTTGTCTGCGTAGTTTAATATCATTATTTTTGCTTTCGGTACAGTTGTTAATTAATTACAGAAATTTAAATGTTACGTAAAATTAAATAATTTTGATACTTCATTCTATTTTCAAAAACCTAGTGAATTCGAGGCTTACAAACTGCTTTTTTTAATAGGTTAAGTGGGTATATTTTTCTTAGCAAAAGATTTTATGAGACATATAAAAAAGTTCAAAATTTCTTTAGTGTAATTATTTTCGTAATATTTCCCTTAGAAAAATAAAGATAACAGTTTGAAAATACAAATAAATGCTCTTCCTTCAAATATATTTTTAAATCAATCGGTGAAACCTAAAACTATTTTAAACATTATTTAAATCTTAATAAATGTTTAAAAAAATTTCTAATTATGAAAATAAAGAGAATTTTTTTAACATATTCTTTCAATTCTATACGACTTTTACGATGGAATTATAAAAGTTATGTTTTTCATAGATATTTATGCAAAATATATTAAAACTAATTTAATCAAAACTTAAAGAAATATAAATATATATTAAAACTATTCTTAAAATAAAATTATGTGTTTACTGAAACACTTAGAAACGTATTTTCATGAAAATATTTTAATTTTGCACTTTCTTATCTAATTTTAAGGTATCAAAAACCAAATATCGTTTTCGTTTTTCTATAAAAGCGAAAGCTCTGTCGATTCAAACGAAATCGCCCATTCAGCGAAAGAACCGTTGAAGTGGCAAACGTTGGCGATCAAACAGCAGCCCTTATATTTACTTCCACTATCAGTTCTCGTTGAACAGACTTAGTTTCACTTTATACTAAGTGGGAATCATATTAGCGATTTACGAAACAAAATACTGCACGGACTGAAGAAGAAGATAGATTCCATATTTCTTTGATTGACGAAGCATGTAAGTTTATATATTTTTAATAATATTTCTTTATTTATTTAACCTCATCTTTAAATTGAGTAATAATTTCTTTCAAATAAGGCAATGGTTTCTGTAGATAAAAAATATTATTATCATAAACATTTTCCAAGTGTGATTTAGCATTGCTTTATTGATCTTTTTCATAAGAACAGCTTTATTAAAACAACATTTATTAAAAACAACATCAAATTGCAATAACTTCCAAACAAATTAGAACTTCAAAGAAAAAGGGGATAAAAGAGAACTAGCGTTAATTTCATAAAAAAAAAAGATTTTTCCGTCAGCACATCAAATTTCATTTCTCTGTTAGCAGTTTGGCAATCGGCAAAATGGTCAAAATTTTATTTTTTACTAGTTAAACAGTTGATAATAATAGAGTTTCATTTTTTTTTTACTCTTTGCTCAGAACGAATAAAAAAAAAACACCTTACATAATTTTTAATCGAATGATTGTATTTTCATGTACTAGAACTCAATCTTAATAGTTCAAAGAGGGGACCTCAAATCTGCTAATTAATTAGTGCAAAGGATATTTTAAGTTATGAAATCAGACACGAAAACGCAATTCTTTGAATAAATATATTTTCTTCAATCGATTTGGTTTTCTGATCACTAAAATATAAGGCACAATCTGGGAAATAGGGTCTCTATTTTTTTGATCAGGAGAGTGGTTCAAAGTTTAGATCCCTTAATGTTAGTTTAAGTTGTTTTTTATTTTATTTAGCCATGTTTTGCGATCTTTTTAAGCGAACTGAAATATTTTACCCCCAATTATAAGATTTGCTTATCCAAAGGTGATTTCATGCAAAAAATAACTTTTAGTAAATATTCATTATTACTTTATTTAATAATAATAATAAATGAATTGTAACGTATACATACATCTCCTTTACATAATTTTAAACAATAATATTTTTTCTGACAAAATGCAAAATTTTGGTCGAATAGTTTCTGAGAAATCAAATTTTAAAAAAGTAGTGTTGAATTGCGTTAGCGATCAGTGGACGGAGCGTCTTAATTTTTATTTTAACTTATTAGAATATTTAATTGCTTTCTTATACACTTTAAACATAGGTTTGTAAAATTCAATGTATATCCAGTCCTATCCTGATTTTTGTGAGGAGTAACTGTTCCCTTAAAATATTAGGTTTGATATCTAAGGATGGTCAAAAAGATATTTTTGAGTGATGGGAGAGAATAAAGAAGAAAAAAAGAGGTAAACAAAAAGACTAAATGAAGATGAAAGTGAAGTTGGTGTGTATAAATAAATTGAAATATTCCTATAAAATATTAAAAGGAAAGAATGAACTTATTCTGTCATAGTATCTTAAATCTTTGAAACTTAATTTATATAAAGTTGTAGAAAAATTATTAGTTACATTTATCTACTGATATTTTAAAATTTCATTAGATAATTCGTTATCTTGTATGCAGTCATTAATCTTTCCCGCTACTGCAAACGAACGGGCGACTGCGTAACAGTCGACTTTGACATATTTGAGGTAAAATTTTTGAAGCATGAAGATTGGTACTCCATATGTGAAAGTATGAACATAAGAACATTTAAAAATAAATATTTTTTATTTCAGTTTTGTAATGATAATCTTTTACATATTTTACTTTTATTTACTTATATTTCATTTAACTATTTTTATTTTTAGGAGAGAAAAACTTTGTGATAACTAATCAGGAAACGAGTTATTGATAAAGACAACCGGAATCATTTGACATAAAAATTTAAAATGGGAAATAAAAATGCACACAGAAATGAAGAAAAAGAAGAAAATATTTTCAATACTTCGGAAGAAAAAAAATTCAAAATTTCTTTGATAGGAGAACCAAGTAAGTTTACATATTTTTAATGCTGTTTCTTTATTTCATCTTAGAATCTTAGTTCGGTCGAATAGTTACTGAGAAATCAAATTTTAAAAATACGACTTTTTTAAAATTTGATTTTTCAGGTATTATTCAACAGATTTCTCTCAAACTTTGTTTTTCCCTTGTGAAATTACATACTTTAAAAGAATGTAAAGAATTGTATACCTTACATTCAAAATTTTTTCGACAATTATTAAATAATAAAAAATAATAAATATTTACTAAAATTTGTTTTTTTTTTTACATGGAATATCTCAGTATAAGTTAATTTTATAACTCTGCATAAAAATTTGACTGTGCGCTTTAAAAGTTCTGGAGCTATGACGAAATATGCAAAGCAAAATTAACATAATGGGGTCCAAACTTAGGATCGCACCCTTGCTCAAACTATGGGGACCATATTTCCCAAATTGCGGCTACCCCTATATTTTAGGAGTCAGAAATCCAAATCCGTCGAGAGAAAAAAGTATGATTATTCAGAGAAAATACATTTTTGTGTCTGATTTCGTAAATTGAAATATCGTCTGCAATTAATTAGTATATCTGTGGTCACTTTCTTGAATCATTAAGTTTGTGTTCCGGAAGAAGATCCGATCATTTAATCAAAAGTTTTTCACGGTGTTTTTTTTTTTTTTTTTTTTTTTTTTTTTTTTTTTTTTTTTTTTTTTTTTTTTTTTTTTTTTTTTTTTTTTTTTTGCTCACTGTGCATTTTTTGGTCAAATTTCGTAGTACATCGTCGACATTAATAAATTAGCAATTACTAGGTAAGGCTTTTGAACCTGTAAGATCGAGTCCTAGTTTGTAAAAATCCGATTATTAGAGAAAAAGTTATTTAAGGTGTTCACACTATTAGTTTATAGTCCCTTTTTTAAGTTTAGTCATATATTCACTTATTAAAAATTAGATATTTTTTAAAACTAAAAATGAGTTTTATAGTTCGTATGTTTTATTTTTCTCTCTTAGATACTAATTTTTATCTAATTATTTTTATATTTCAGTGGTAGGAAAAACAGGTTTGTTGCAAGTATATCGGACTGGAGAGTTAGGAGGTAATTTCATCCCTTTTCTTCGCTTTAAATTTCCACCTCCAATCTATTGAAACTTTTGATGTGGTATAAATAATTTTCTTTAATGTTAGAATTAGTTGTTTTGTGTGTCCAGTTTTTATAAATGTAGATCACAAATCGGGAGTGTAAATCTAAATTTTCTTCAAAGTTCTTTTACTAAAAAAAAAGTTGCTTTTTTTAAAATTTAAATTTAATCAAAAAGTTTCATAATCAGTTGATCATAATTATCTGCTGTCTGTCTGATCATAATTTTCTGCTGTCTGACTCCCGAAAGTGTTCCAAAAGATTTTTTCATGAAGACGTTATATAGAAAAAAGTCAAGCAAGGGCCAAGATTAAAGTATCTATTTGTAAGAATAACAAAAAGATTGCTTTCTATAATGCATCTGTATACATCTTTTTCTTTAATTACGACATTAATTTCGTCCTACTATAAGTTAAAAGAAACATTACTTTGCATGGAACCACACCGCTGACACTACTAGTAATTAAATCCTTTGTTCGAGTATTGTTGCCATTAAAAAATGATGTGGAATTTTAACATTAATTTTATGCTACTATGAATGAAAAGAAAAATTACTTTGCATGAAACCACACTGCTGACACTACTAGTAATTAAATCCTGTGTTCAAGTATTGTTGTCATTACAAAATGATGTGGAATTTTAACATTAATTTCGTGCTACTATAAATGAAAAGAAAAATTACTTTGCATGAAACCACACTGCTGACACTACTAGTAATTAAATCCTGTGTTCGTGTATTGTTGCCATTACAAAATGATGTGAAATTTTAACATTAATTTTGTGCTACTATGATTGAAAAAAAAATTGTTTGCTTGAAACCACACAGTTGACACTACTAGTAATTAAATCCTGTGTTCGTGTATTGTTGCCATCGAATGATGTGAAATTTCAGCAGATGGCAGCTTCTTGTAACTTCTCCATGTTGTTATGATTTGTTGTCATTAAGTTATTTGAACTAACTTTTGTTAAAAAATCTAACTATTAAACTATATAATTATAGATTATTCAATCATATTGGGGTATGATTTCTCACTCTTTAAACACTAATTTTTAATTTATAGCATGCAGTAGGAGAATCTGGATCGATGTCGAAGAATGTAGAATTAAAGTACAGAACTTGAACAAAACATTTCTTATTTATAACGTTGCTGGTTATTTGATGTTTCGATTTCTTGTGCCCGAGTAAGTTCAAGAAAATTATTTTTATAGAAGGTTTTTTGTGCACATTTCTTCTTTGTTGTTAAATAGTTTTTCAATTTAACTGAAAGTTCATTTATTTCCCCCACGAAAAGTTTTGAGCTACTTGTCATTCAAATCAAGTGTAAATATCGCTGTATTTGACGTTGAGACAAACGAGTTAAATTGACACTCATAAATATTGCTTTAAGTCTTAGCATTTTATTCTTATTAATTGAACTTAGTTTGAAACAGTTATTCATAGCATTTTATGCTAAAAATTAAAGAGATAAAAAATTAAAAGAAAATGCGGAGTATATTTAAATATAATATACAGCATGCAAAGAAAAAAAAACTAATCACCCTGAATAACTTTTGATCTAATAATCAGATCTTCTCGTTCTAGGCTCAATCTTAAAAATTCGAGGAGGTGACGAAAGCAGACACAAAACGTACTTTCTCTGATAAACATACTTTTTTTAAAAATGGATTTGCGTTTTGAACCTTTAAAATATAGGAGGTAGCCGCTCTCTTGACCAATCTGCTAAATATGGTCAGGAGAGCGATCCAAAGTTTGAACCCCTAATGTTAATTTTATTTTTTGCGTATTTCGCAATATGTAGACAAATTTTTAAGTGAAATAAAAAATCTTTACATGCAACTATAAAATGTTTTACATCATTTTAAAGTAACTGATTTGGAAAAGTAAAATACGAAATTTAAGCGAAATCGGTTGAATAGTTCCTGAGAAATCAAATTTTAAAAAGTTGTATATTTAAAATTATTTAACTTCGCAATAAACTATGGACACACTTCATAGTAAGTGGTACAGAACTGATGATCTCATGATTCAGGCTTTGGTTAGAGAGGGAAATGGGGGAGAAATTTAAATATTGTTATTTGCACACTTGAGGTATAGTTTCTGTTGACGCCAGAAGCGCCATCTGTGAAAATTTAGTGTATCTTATGAATCCGATGAGCTCGGATGTGTGAAAAGAGCGTTGCTCTAATTAAGTTATGTTAATAAAGTGGTGTTTCATTATTACAGTCCGCTCATGAGATTTTTGAGAACTTTTATTTTTATTATATGGAGAATTTTGTATAATTGAGCTATCGTCGGACCCAGTTTCCATTACCGCTGAATCGAATGAAACTGATCTCGCGATATATCTGATTAATATATCCGAAGTGATGAGGACTTTGCGTACGAAAAGTACGATTTTGACACTGTTTGTGTTTACATGGAAGTCATTATTTCTGATGTATACTTTTTACGCTTTTAGGACAAAACACAAGTCACTGGGGCAATAAGATGAATAGTTCAAACATTGCAATGAGTTTACTGTATAAAAATTATTATTTTCTATTTATTTTTAGTATGAAAAAAACCTCGATAACCTTCTTCATTAGTTATATATATANAGGAGCATCTATTTAAATACCACTTTTAATGAAATGAACGGAATTAAAAGAATATGTAGTAATATTTATTTATCCAAAAAACATATCGATAAACTCTTTCAAAATTTGATAAAAAACAATGGATACCCAACTAGAGTAATAAAATTTTATATAAAATCACTGAATTAATCGTATATTTTTGTGGATATGTTTCATTAACATTTTTTTTGTTAATTTATATAATTTTCCAATGTGCAAATCCATTTCGGGTAAATCCATTGCCAAAATTATTTACTAAATAGTTTCTTTGTCAATTTGTATAATTTTTCCATGTGCAAATCCATTTCGGGCAAATCCGTGGTTAAAATTATTTATTAAAAAATTCCTTTACTAAATAGTTTCCTTTGTTAATCTATACAATTTTTCCATGTGCAAATCAATTTCAGGTAAATCCGTGGGTAAAATTGTTTGCTAAAAATTTCTTTATTAATTTATACAATTTTTCCATGTGCAAATCCATTTCGGGCAAATCCGTGGCCAAAATTATCTACTAAAAATTTTTTCTTTGTTAATTTTTCCATGTGCAAATCCATTTCGGGCAAATCCGTGTTAAAATTATCTATTAAAATTTCTTTTCTTTGATAATTTATATAATTTTTCCATGTGCTTATCCATTTCGTGTAAATCCGTTGGTAAAATTATTTGCAAAACAGACAATTTGTGTTTCTCTTTTCTATTTTATATTTTTTCTTAAATAAACATCTATTTTCTAAAACTATTTATGGCCAATTTTTAAAATTATTCAGTATAATATTAGCTTGCGCACATCCATTTAGGGCCCATCCTTGGTAACTAACAAATCACTTCAGCAGTGCAGTAAGAACGGCACTTTAAAACCCTCTAGTTACACTCAATTTGCGCATTTGTCTTCATATTTTGTAATCTGGCAATCTTTCTGCGAAAACATTTTTAAATCATTCTTGAAAAATTTCCCGTCAATGTAAGATCTGATTTCGCTACTCGCGTTATAGTCCATTTTTTATACTGTTTTTTCTTTTTATTTTATTTTATTCTCTGTTTTTACATGTTATTTTTACTTATTTTTACTTTTTGTGTTCTATTTTATTTGTTGTAATTTTTGTAAAAAGGTTTTTTGAGTGCTCCTCATACTATTGTATTAATATATTTTGCTTTGGCCTTATTGATACAATATCAGAAAGCACTCTGTTTTGCGGATATAATCGTGTGGGCTGATGAAAAGATTATATCTTTTTTTAAGGTTTTTTTAAATAAAATGTCATCCTTTTTTTTTTTTTTTTCAACAGTTTGTTATTTTTTTACTTATTACTCCCCCTACCTTTTTTTTCATATATCCAGAATTTTTTTGTTTTATCTTCATTTTGAACTTTATATATATATATATATATATAGCACAATAAAAACAAAACCAAACTAAAAACGGAAACAAAAAGAAAACGGAAGTAAGGTAATAGTAGATAATATCAAGCGCTAAAGCTGCTTTAAATATGATCACTATAACATAGCACAAAAAAACAAAGAGAAAAACGAAAATAATTAATAATATAAGCTAAAAAATTGAGAAAATATGGGTACGCGTAAGTTCATTTAATTCGCTCCTCACTATGTGGATTTCTTTTCGTGTACTGATCTCTAATCTCTTTACATTTTATTTTCAGTTTTTTGCTTGATATATTTCTTTGCTTTTCCGTACATATTTTTTACTTAATGTGTTCCAATTTCGTTTAAAATTTTTTGAGTGCTCCTCACACTGTTGTATTGATATATTTTGCTTTGGCTATATTAATACAATATTAGAAAGCACTCCTTTTGCGGATATAATCGTGTGAGCTGATGAAGAGATTATATCTTTTCTTAGTTTTGTTTTCCAAATTTTAATTATTTTTTTTTTAAGGTATTAAAAATTATGTTCTTTTAAATTCTTTTAAAAAATTATTGCTAATAATTTTTTTCTCTTGTCATTATTTTGTATTTTTTCCCATATTTTCTCAATTTTTTAGCTTATATTATGAGTTCTATATACTTGCAGCTTATGCGCAGTTAATAAAACTTATTAATTATTTTCGTTTTTCTCTTTGTTTTTTTGTGCTATATATATATATACTCGCACGTTCACAAATGCAATATTTTTACTTCATATTAAGGTACGTTAAAGGGTCAGACGGTGTTCTTTTGCTGTATAATGTTGCAGATGTGTTATCATTTGTGGAGCTCTCCAAATGGATTGAAAATGTGAGAGAGCGGAATCCACATGTCATTATATTTATAAGTAAGTTTTAATTCTCTACTTTAGTTTTTGAAATTGATCTAAATACTCTAAAGCAACAAATTGATAAAGAAATTGATTCCTTATGATAAATTTAAAATTTAAATTAATTTTATAGGCAAGATATTTTCTGAATTAATTCTTTTCTCATAACTCACTAATCCTATAATAGATTTTTTCTCTCTTTTATATGAGTTAAATGCCATTCTTTCTACGCCGTATTTCAAATTCTATGCAGATGTACTCTTTTAGTGATGATTCAAATCCCGAAGATAGAAATGCTGATCTTGATAACAATTTTTCATACTTTCATGAAACTCTTTTCACATTAAATATTGATTTACTGCATTTTATAAGACCGACTTAATGACTATATTTTTCCAATAACAGAAAAATTCTAGGGTGGGCATTAAATACCAAATAACTTAGCATCATTAAAGCTAAGTACTACTTCTCAAGAGAGCGTACTTTCGCCTGCCCAAGTATTTAAACTTTCTAGAAAATTGATAAAATGTTGAATCTTAAAACCGGTACCTTGAATCGCAAACGGGAAATCTTGGTAAAAAGGATTCAATTTTCCGTTCAAGTTAAACCATTGTTCTGTGCATAAAATAAAAAAAGGACCATCCTAAATAATTTTTGATCTAATGATCGGATCTTCAAGTTTTAGAGCTCAATCTTGATGAACTCAAATATGCTAATTAATCAGTGCAGACAATTTCTTAGGTTACGAAATTAATCACAAGAACTATATCTTGGTAAACGAAACCTTTTGTCGACGGAATTGGGCTTTAGACCGCCAAAATATAGCAGTAATCAAGGAAATATGTTTCCCCTAGTTTGATCAGGAGAGCGATCCAAAGTTTGGATCCCTTAATGTTTATTCCAAGAAAATACGTTTTTGTGTCCGATTTCCCAAATTAAAATATCGTATGCACTAATTAATGAGCATAGAGCCGTGGTGGCTCATTGGATAAAACGTTCGCCTCCCAATGAATGTGGTGAACCGGGTGCGATTCTCTGCAATGGCTGGTTGGTTCCCACACCTGTCTTGCACCGACCACAATTGTGGCATAAAATATCCTCAGTAGTAGACGGATTCATGGGTTAGAGTTCCCTTGCCATCAGGCTAATCGTAGGAGGTTCTCGTGGTTTTCCTCTCCATGTTACGCAACTGCGGGTTAGCTCCATCAAAAAGGCCACCACAAAGGTAAATTTCTCCTAATATATGATCCAAGAGTTCCTTTGTCTTCTGGATTGTGTTTAAAATTACGAGGATACGGAGTTGAACATTGGTAGTCGTAAACTGAAAATTCGGTCGGCTGTTCAACAAAGGCTATGAAATAAATAAAAAAAAAATATTAGCATGTTTGAGGTTACCCTCTCGAGTCATTAAGATTTAGACCTCAAACTTATGAATCTGATCATTAGATCAGAAGTTATTCAGGGTGATCTGCATTAACTTTTGTGAGCTGTACGACTTAAGATGAATAAGGAGGGGATACTTTCACCGAATTATATTTCTTAAAATACTGAATAATATTACTGAACGATAAAATTTCAAACAGTGTTTCAATGCAATCATTGGTGGAGCAATGTTCAGATATAACTTGTGTAGAGAAATAGCAGCATATTTCTCATAAAATTACGCAATGTTCAAATATTCGATCTATGTATTGAGAAGGGTGATAAAATATTCCTATGAAATCTTTCGAAAATTTGAAATCGCAAGCCCGTTGGGATGTTCAAAATTGCAAATAAAAACGAATAGATTTTTAATCTGAAGGGAACGAAAGGTGGAGCCACGTTTAAGAATGGTTTTCATGGATGGTTAAGAATGGTTCAATTAACTTTTATAATAATTAATCAAGTAATTTTTTGGTAGTTAGCAGATTTACGGTATCTTTTTTAGTTGCTTCCATTGAGTCGAAATAGCCTACTGACTGAGGTATTGGGTATAACGCGTTTTTCTCCCTTTTTTTCGCATTCTCTCCATTCTTTCGCATTTTTCTCTCCTTGATGCTTTTTATCAACCATCTGATATTGTCGATTGAAATTTGGAATACTCTATTTATTTTTTGCGTTCAATAAATACACGTAATCCTTTTATTAAATTAAACAAAGTTTTGTAACGATCATTTATTACGTTTTACTTCTGAGCAAAAATTATGTAGTTATCTCATATTTTTGGTGGAGTTGTAACATTTCTTCATTGTTGACAGTTGGAGTTCAATGTGATCTCTTAAATGAAAAAGAAGTATCACGCGAGACTGGTAAAAAATTTGCACGAAGTAAAAATCTGGAGTTTTTTGAATGCAACATCAGGACTGGTGAAAATGTTAACAAAGTAAGATGTTCTCACAAATTTGACCTTTGCCGCATGACTACGATCCTTTTTTATTAATGGAAATTTTCTTTAGCTTAATTAACTCTTCCCACGGTTATAGGATAGTAGGATAAGTAATACTTTTGAAAACGTTAAAACATTTCTATATGATCCTTTACGAATGTTTTTTTATTTTTATTTTTTTATTTTGTACCCACAATATTGGGCTCTACGTTTAAGAATTTTCTTCTGAGGCCTGCTTCAAGATTTAGTTATGTGCTATACTTCATTTTTTTTCTTCTTAATATTACCAAAATACGCATTGTGTTCAATATGTTGTACAGTTTACATGTTGTGTTGCTATTTGGTTATAATTAACGTTAAAATTGTTTCGTAAAAACCCACCCTGATTGAAAATCTGATGTATTAATTGCAATTATTTTTAAATGTTTATCTGGAAGGGGAAATAGGGTTCAAACAATTTTAGAAGTTTTGTTTAAAACAACATTTTTAACAATTTTAATTTCTTATATATTAGTTTAT